ATTTCTCCCAAGTAGAGCATATCAGAAATGCTTTATACGTTTAACAAAATCCATGTTTTATTTTATCTAAGCATTGATGTAGTAATGAGTTCATTTTTACTGCACTTTTCAGAACCCACTACTCCTGGTAAGTTTATAATGTTTTCTTTTTTTTTACATCTTAACTATAATATAACTATTTGAACTTGTAAAAAAATTACAGTTCAAGTGTTTGTTGATTCAAGAGCAAAAGATTATTTTCTTATATTATGCTATTATTTAAAAGTATTTTTAAGATATTGATTTTGAAAGTCTAATTAATTATATTGCTTAAATAGATAATTCGAATGAACATTTTTCTATTTTATTGCAGTTTTATTTATTTATTTTCATATTTTTTAAAAAGAAACATTATTATTTTTAAGTGTGTTTTGAACTAAGTTTAATTCGAATTATTTATCTAAATAGCTCTTTTTGCTTAAAATAAAAAGAAATTTTATTGTATTTCCTATATTTGCTATTTAAACTGGTTGATAGAGAATCAAAAATTATACAGAATCAAACAGAATCATAATCCTTATGTACATTTTGATAATTTTCATCGAAAATTCATTTAACCTTTAATTCAAAATAAATATATTTTGCGTTTTTGTTCATTACACGAATATGTCCAAGGAAAACGGACAAAGGTAAATAAACCCACCCTCAAGAAAAGAACTAAAATAAATGTAATTGAAAGATTTGCTTATTTTATTGATGATGTGAAAACCGATTTTGAATAATCTTCAGCCTACCTTCAAGTTATTTTCTGACATCATAAAAAGTTTCTAATGTTACTATTGGCTAAAAATGCTTTAATAAGGCAGTAAAAGAATAATTCATGGATATGATTGTAAAAACATGGATGTAATGGGTAGTGCATGGTTATAATGCATGGATATGATTGTAAATAATATATAATTCATGGATATGGTTGAAATATCATGATTATAAAAACTTTAGTGACAAACTCGTTCACAAAAATTTAAGATTGTTTATTTAATTAATTACATTCACTCGTTGGCCTTATAAATTCACATTACTATCATTAAGTATGTTTCAGGAAAAATGTTCCATTAGATTTGTTTATTAATAATTTACGTAAGCAATAGGGTAAATGTTTCATATTGTATACTTAGTCACCAAAGTATACAATATTATTTTGATGTACGGTACGAATTAGTTTTGCGAACTAAGCCTAATGGCTTTTCCACTTTTCGGCATTTTATAGAAAATACCACTCCTAAAGGTAAGTTACTCATTTTTTTATCCCTGTGCGTTTTTTCTTTGAAATTTTAGAAATAATATTAAAATACGAAGGAAATGTACATTGCTTACTAATTTTTAGAACCAACTACAACTCCAGGTAAGTTTCTATGAGAGTTTATTCTAAGGAATTAAAATTTCGGGTGAATTATAAAGGCATACACATTTTTAACTTTTTTTCAATGAAGTTCTATCAAGCGATATTTTCTGAGTGAATTTTATGAATCACAATTTTAGTTAAAAATAAATTCATTTTCAAGTGAGGTTTCACCCCACCTCTACCCCTTTTTGTGCAATTAGTTAAAAATTGATAATAAGCTATTATCTCGAGAAGAAAACATTCGACAAGCAGATTGAGCCTATGCTACAGGAAGTAGGATATTAAAAACACGATTTATAGCGTTCCTATTATTTTCGTATTTATCTTATCAGGAACGGGCCTTAAAGCTTAAGGCATTATAGAAGTTATATAAGTTACCAAATATCTATTTTTTTCCTGTTATATAAGCTTTCTTTTTTATACATTTTCATATCAGTTCACTTTTGGTGAAGGCAAATAATGCCCTTAAAACTTGTGATAAATTTCTGTTTTGCAGTTTTGAGAAAAAATGGCAACGTTACGTAAAAAGTAACTACAAACATCTTGTTTTTTTGAAGCACTACTCATTAATATGTATTCAGTGAAATATTTACCTTTGCGCTTCTCTATCTGTCCAATTAGAGTTTGAGGGCTAAAACAAAAAAAAGCTGCTTTAATTAATAGAATTTTGATTGCTCTTCGAGCCAAGATACTTCCGGAATTATAAATGTCCTTACAGTTAGTGTGTTAATAATAGGACCTAAATTGAAAGTATATATATATATATATATATATGTCATG